GAGAAAATTAACAGATATACAAATATAAAAGCAGATCAAATAATTAAATTGGCTTACAAGGAATTGATTTAATTATAAGATTACTTTGTTTTCCTCCTAACTCTTGATCTCCTTTAGAGAATTTCGAAGAAATCCTCTTCAGAAGCAGCATTATGGAAAATTGAGTAAACCCAACTGCATTTCCTGTTAAAGTGCAGCAGTTTTATATCACATAAGCAAACAGAAAGCAATCAAAATGCATATGAGATACTTAAGCTGCGATTTAATGTGCCACAAAAAGTTGCCACTTTTTCCCTACGTAATAATTATTAATGGAGATTTTTATGCAGATGATGGTGTGCAAAAGTTGGTTTTCTCTTATAGACAAGGGCTGCAAAAGAACAAAAACAAGTTTGTTCAACTGAGCATGGTACTTTTGTGGCTGGCATAAGCCAATAAATCCCAATCCCCCTGCATACTTAAATTGAAATATATATTCATCAGCATTACAACGTCACAATGGGTTCTTCGGGGCGTATACTTAACGTGTGTGCCTGTCATTATTGCTGCATTCGCTCTCAATGCCACTTACCGCATCGAAATGGCATGAAAAATATTCGCTGACGCCCCAGCGCTATTAATCACAATTATTGCCAGGCAGCTCGTCGACACCCCAGCCTCCTTCCTCCGACTCCTGCCCTCGAATCGGGTCACAGTTGTTGTTATCCCAGTGGCAGGGACATGACAAATTACACCGAGCCTCGAAGTAGGTTACGCTCCTCCTTCGTCTACGCCCCCTTCTAAATCCTTCTAATTGCCGGCGGGCCTTTCGCCTTCCCCTAAAACACATGCAAGGGTAAAATGTTCATTTCGCAACGAGTGGGTCACATGTAATTGCCAGTGCGGATGATGCGGGGCTGCCTGCCTGAGTGACCCGGAACAATCAATATTCCTAAACACCGAGGGCTAAATTACAAACTCTGTAATTTCAAATCCGGAATGATGGGCTCGAACAAGGCCACTAGCAGTAATCTGGGCTTAGGGATGGGCTGATTTCCAGCTCCCCCGCTCCATTATAACGGAATTTCACAAAAGTACTGCTTTATTTAGAAATGGAAATCAATAGAAGTATGATTGATGCACAGAGAACCAAATTAGAATCTCTATTAAATTGAATATTCAACAGAAAACTGTGGAACTACCTAGAACTAAAAGAATGTAAGTGTTTTTTTTTACTGATGGAACCAAAAATTATATTATTTACAATATTGTGGGAGCCAGGCATTAACAGCCTGGCAAAAATTACAAAAATATTTTTGAACTCATTGATAATTTCAATGATTTAAGCAAGAAATTAAGATCAAGTGTGAAAATATAGGTATGTGCGATAAGAACAACATAGGTAAAATGTATACAATTGTATATAAACAATGTTAGCATCGTATAATTTAATATACTAGACAGATATGTTTCGAAAGTTTTATAATAGTTACTATGGGAAATATATCCATTGATTAAAGACCAATAGGGCTGCTATTTGTTCCTGTGTAAGGGCCAGGGTCTTGCAAGGCATAAATACTTCGCGAGTATTTAAATGTGGCTCTCAGTAAGGATTGGCGGCGCACAGCGGGCGGCAGGCGATGTTATGGCACATTAATAACAGGGGGCGAGAGTTCCGGGGTGGGTCCAAGAAAATGGAGCTGCTGGTTCTTGGGGCTGTGGCGGGTAAGTTATGCCATTAAAATGTCAAAATTTCAAGCTGCGCCACTTTGACACGCCAAATGAAACGTGGCGCGCCCACGCAGACACCTACGGACCACGCCCCACTACAAACCCCCACCAAAACCTCTGCAAGCTATACGGAAACCCCAACCCCAAGCGTAGTTTGTACCAGAGCTATTTAATACTAATTAGACCCAAAACTGGTTGGCACCCCCGTCGTACGAAGGGTAACGAGGCCATGTTCCTCTGGCAACAGTGTCTCCTCTTCGCAATTATTTGTTTGGTTTTGGGCTTGCTGTTTGTTTTGGCTCCGATGTCAGAACTTTTCGCTCCAAGGAAGGATGCAAAATGGAAAGTTAAGTTAAAAAGTCAGTGGCAAATGTCTTTAATGTTCGCCCGTGCCCCTCCGGACCCTGGAAATAGTTGGAATGCAATGGCGAACAAAAGTTTGCCAAGTGACATTTCAAAGGAACAACTTTATCTGCAGGAACTCCTTGGCACTTGCGATGCGAAAGTTGAACGCTGCAAAGGCATCAATCCGATATTGATGTTCTGTTCGGATTGCTTTCTTAAAGTTTCCGCACCGATAAGATTGCTTTGATTCGCCTCCAACTTTCTAAAAGAAAATCTCTTCCGAATAGCGCACAATTAGTGGGGCTTAGGCTCTCAATGCCCAACTCAGCACTTTCCCGGCTCGAGTACACTAAATTCTAATGACCGCCAGTTCGTTTTTCCCATTAAGTGATTTGGCGTGCAAAAAATGCGAGAGGCCAAGAAGAAGACGAAATGGTTCAGAAGTAATGCAAAGAAATGGATATGAATGGCCCCAAAACTTTTCTGCAAGCTGTACACATCCGAAGAAGAAAAATGAAATAAATAAAAGGCAGAAGAAAGTATTTTCGTGCGCCAGGTGGCGAATTCCGGTCGGAGGACCCGAACCCAGGACCATCCAAAGTGCGCAAATTAATGATTATTCGGGGCCGTTTTTCGTTCGGTCTCGGGGCAAAAAAGAAATCTCGGCATAATGCAATCAAAGTTGGGTTAATGCCTGGGGACCGAAGCTGATAACACAGAAAATTAGCAATTTGCCTTAATGTGTCTGTGATTGACCCCAGAGGTACCGGCCGGCTGAAGTGAGTTGAGGCCGCCGAGAGTCCGATTCCCTAATGTGTCATGTGCCTTAGACCCTTCAAAAAAATTCAAAAACTCAACGCTCCCTCTTTCCATAGTCCATGATTATTTATTGATTACTCTCGCCCCTTGTACTAAAATATAAATCAAACACACAAGCATAAGCAAATGTATATTTATTCGCCCGGCTTTTAATGAGATCCGCAGAAGGGCCTCCGCTTTTCCATTCTGCTTAAGATTTGCGATATCCATTCAAGCGGAAAATGTCTGCGCTCACTTAATTTAACAAGTGCGGAAACGCGCGGCAAACAGGAAACGCAAACACTCTGACAAACGCCTACAATCACCCTCAGGCAGTGAAAACGCAAAAAGAAAAGTAATAAATCGGGATATATATATGGAGCTGGGTTTAAACTGTCTAATATATTAAAAAAAAATAAACTTAAAGGTTTAATAATAATTTATCGACCGAAATGATTTTAAAGCACTAAAATATTTTGACATACAAAGAAATATATATATTTTTACTGTTGGTATACAAAAATATAGACACCTTTTTTTAAGTTTTGTAAGCTTACCATAGTTTATTTTTATTTTAAAAGAGTTAACAATATTTTCATTATATTAAATCTCTCAAAGCTTACACAACTATCAGGAAGAGTAATTCAATAAAAGGAGGTATACCCCAAGATTAAAAAAGAACATTTTGAAGAGAACGTGAGCCACGAACACAAATTAAAGTTCGAAATGGGGCCTGGCGTACATTGTGGGTGCCGAAAGTGCTTGAAATTCTCCCTGAATTCACGGTGGGTTGAGGATTGCGGTTGGAGATTCCCTCCTTGACTGTATGTACTCGAAAATCCCTTGTAATTTCTCCGCAGTTCATGTACATTTCAAGTGCGCCAGTGTTTGAGTGTATCTGTGTGGATTTTGGACCGCCCGTGTATAAGTTTAATTATTATAATGCTCACTCTGGCGGATTAAGCCGCTCCATCATATATATCCACTTGGTTTTGAGTGATGGCCATGCTTTCAATCAATTATGTGCCGAAACAACTTATTATGATTACACCGTCGAACCCCCAGTTCGTGGTATTTTCGTAGGGAGGAACCCAAAATCAATGCGATGACTCCCTTACAAATTCCTGGAATCGGAATCGGTATTGGTTTTGTAAGCTGCAGCATTTGGGTGTCATAATAAGACTTACGGTGGCTTCAATAAAAGCTCGCAATCTGCCACTGACACAGTTCCGCAAAAACCGAACCCTGAAAGTCAAGGAAGTTGTGTTCACATGAATAAATTATGCCAAGGCTGCGAACGGAATAAAAAACATGTAGGAATAAAGCGACTCTCAAAACAGAAACATTTTTATAGGGGGGTATCAGAAGAAAGCAATGGCTAAGACGCAATATTAAATTGATTTCAGATCACTTTAGGTTCGCACAGGGTGATGGGCAGAACAATAATCAAATATTAATTGCTGTGGGAATTGAGGCGAATAAAACAAAATTATAGAAATAATAAAAACTTGTTTGCCTACCTGGCGGCGGCCTTCGCAGTTGCCTTGGGGGCGCAAACAAAATCAAACTTTCCGAGTCACTCGAGTCAAAAGAAATCCAATTTTCGGCATGTTCAAAAACTACTTGAGTACACAAACCTTGGCGTTTCGATGGTCGTCGGTCTTGAGATTGGGTTTAGGTTAACGTTTGGCTCGGGTTTCGAATCTCACTTCGGCACGGGCCTCCATTGTCACATTTCTATTATGTGTTTGGGCCGGCCTTTGTTGGCTGGTAAATATCCATTTATTTGCCGGCCTGTGTGTGTGAAACATTTCAATTTCCTAGAGGACCTGCGGGGCCGACAAGTTGGAAGGCCGGCCGAGAGTTTGAGCCACATCAAAATAGCCGCCGGCTAGCTTCAAGCATTCCATTAAGGCCAAAGACAAGGCGAAATACACCGTATATATATTTGTTTTTTTTCTCCTTCTGACCTGGCTCAGTGCCAACTCATTCCCCGGCTAAGCAAAGGCCAAGGAAGATGCAGGCCGCAAGAGGAATTTCTGCCACAAAATTAAAAATGCTATGTGGCTGGAAAGGGTTGCAATTTCCATATTAATCCTGCCATAGACTGGATTTTAATATTCCCTTTAAATATTTTTCATTTGCAGTGCGATGTATTCGACGATATTGACCTATCGGACTTGTGTTACTTCGAGTGCAGCATCAAGAACGTAAATCATAGTTTTCAGGTAAGTCTCACGAAATGTAAATTCACTTTGCCATTAGTAAACAACGCAAAGTCATAAAAATTTAATGTGAAAAGTTTGCCCTTGTTGGGCTAAATATTTTATTTCCCTGTGGGTGTTTTTGCTAATTAGCTCACCTGCCCATCTGCTTTTACTGCCTATTAATTTGGCAAACTTTTGATACAAATGTGAGAACATTTGGGAGGCCCAGGCCACCAGAATAACTTCAAGAGGTGTGATAAAGTAAATAAGAATCGGAAAGGCATCTCGGCTTGACTTTGATATCCTGAAGACAGGGAGCAGGAACTTCCTGTTTGCCATTGTCTGGCGTTTCACTTACACACACCAAAGTCAACCCAGGATTTGGCACCCTGAATTTTCTCGTATTTTTATATAACAAATAAAAAGGGGGAAATAAGAGGGCAACCAAGCAAAAGTCAAACGGAAAACAAAAGAAATCGAAGCAAAATGTTTACATTCAACGCGGGCTGCATGCCAAATTAGCATAAGTAGGCGAACTCCTGCCAGTTTGAGTCCCGAAATATATTCACTCTCCTACTTATTTTATATATATGTAAATTTTCGGCTTTTTATACACGAATGCGCAACATTTGATGCGGGAAATTAGAGCGTTTATAAGAAATCCTCGGAAGCAGAATACTTGGCCCAGCTTGTTGCTCAATTGCGTGAACCTCGCCAATAATAAAAATCCCCATATATATCTAATATCTCTTTATAATATAAATAATAAATTTGCCAGCCGAGCGAATAAAGGAGCCCTAACACGGGAAATTGCCAAAAGGCAATCCCCTCTTCAGCTTTTTGCGAAAATGTTATTAGCTAAGGCGGTACCCATCATCGTTTTTATTGTCTTTTGTCAGTTGAGTTTCCACGGCTGTTGGCGTGATTCCAAAGTACCCTTGAGCATGTGTATCTATATATTTAAGGTGTTATCTAAACGAGCGAAGGACGTGATTCAAAAATGTAGGAGCTGAAATCCCTTAAAGTAAGTCTGACGCTTTCGACCTCGGTAGCTCTCTATTGGCGCTAAATGCTGCAATTTTTTCGCTGTTGGAATAACTAAAGTGAAGTGAGTTGTTCTTTGTTTTGTCAAATACAAAGCCAATTCAATTTTGTATGTTGAAGGACCGCCCACAGGCCGAGAGTCCTGCCAAAAGCAATGCACTCAGAACTCAGCGAGTGCCTGTTAACAATGTCAGCGACACTATAAACCGCAAACAAAAACGTTCCCTCGGTGCAATCGTCAGCGCCACGAAAATATAACAGCAAATAAGCCAATGAGCGGAACATTCAATAAAAACACGTATAGGAAAACACTTTCGTGAAAAACCAATTTCCCGTGGAAAGACCATAAAAACTTTCCATCAATCTTGATGCACAGAAGTGCGGAGGGATCATGTTTGACACTATGTATAAGCCTTCGAAAATGTGAGCACAGATATGTCAGAAAAACTAGGAGTGTATTCCATTTTTGCAATTTCTTCTGCAGTAGATAAAGATAAATATGTTAAATGTTAAATTATACTATTTTCAATCTTCAAAGTTAAAGTACCTACCATACAAATCTTATTAGTAATACGAAAAAATAGTTATAGAACTTCAGATTGTTTAAGTCCGTAATGGTACACCATTAATTTCTGTTATAACAACTCAGTTAAAAATCTTAAGCCGAATTTAAAGTTCCTTTTTGTTCTTTATCAAAAGTCTTCCCGTAATGTTATAAATTGGTTTAGACACAATTAGACTTCCACAAAACAGGATCAGGTAACGTGGCCTGCTTAAGATATCCGGTGACCCCAAAATTGTATTGGCTCCATTCTTTACCATTTATATTGACAGTAGCTGTTAGAGCCTTATTTTTTCAAGTTGTCAGCCCTTAAACAGACGTTCGGCATCTTAGGCACGTAACCGACGTCTTACTTGGGGCCACGTGCCTCGAAACTTTGCAGTTACAAATAAACAATGACAGAAAGGTTTACTAAGTCTTTGATGCAGTAAGTGGTAAGCGCATTGTGGGCCAATTCCCGACGCAGAGTGGTTTGTGGCTTAAACCGATTGTCGATGTAAGTACTCGGTGGGGTGGAGCATTTTGTTTACAGTTTGCATGGATGCGAAAACAACACGAGCTTTTCCATCACTTAGGAGTGCCTCATAACGTTTAGTGTCCCCGGAGCAACTGCGTTCTGTTTCCACTTTCGCTTCATTTAACAAAATCCAATTCTCTCATATTGCAGCCGTCTTTGTGAATAACTTTTGCCCTTTCAATCATCAATCCTGAAAAGGTTTAGGCAAAACCAAATGGGCGCAGATGGTTCCCTACTCCGCATTGTTCCGAAGCTGGGCCATTGGTGGCAAAAATCTTGCGATTACTCCGTTTCTGAATTATGTAAGCGCATGAATGGAATTACAATGGCTAAGTGCGATTGTAAGTAATCCACTGGGAGACTAATTAGCGCCGCCCACTTGCATATCATCAAGGACCTCAAACAATTCGAATATCGACGACAAAGGACAATCAAGCGTGACAGCAATAATTTGCGTACTTCACTTAGCGGGCAATTTGCAAGTGAACCCCACCAAACGTCCCTCGACCGTCAAACTTTCCGGGAATTTGTAATAGCAATCAAGCTGATTGATTGCCTCGCCACACACACATCGTTGAGGGAAGAACAAGTAGCAGAGGCATCAATTATGCAAGCCGAAGCTCACTTCTGTTAATTTCGCACCACACCACGCGGCGTATGCGTAATGCGCAATTCGGGCTTCTGCCTTGCCTCCCCTGCAAATTGAACAGAATGAACTGCCAGTCATCAGAGCTGCCTCGCCCCCGGAGTCTATTTTGAAAAATAAGCAATTTCGTCGCCTATCCAAGAACTTAATTGATATCGAAGAACCAGAGCAGCCGAAAATGTTATTTCACAACGTCGAACATTTTCATAATTGGGTTTGCCCCCGCACTGGCCTTCTGTTATTCATTGGCAAATATCAACGACAGAAATATCAACAATTGTCTAATTGTTTGATCAGATTTAACGCTGATTGGGGCCTCTGAAAAGTTTAATTTTCCCATTTAAGCTATAAGGTCAACAGTTTGGGGATTGCCAACTTGTTAAATGTCATGTGGCTTGGCCTGAATAATTAGTGAGTTCTGGAGAAAGTTTGCAGACGGATTATTTATAAATTTCGTGGAAACTGTTAGTCAAACCAGAAGGTCAAGATAAGAGCTTTTCAGCTTTGTGATTTAATTTCATAATTTCCATTATGACATGCATATGTTTTCGAGTTTACTACTTAGTAAGACATTCCTGTGTTGTTTATTATTCTTGCTAAAGCAAACATTAGGAAATTAAAGCATGCTGCTTTCCAAGAATCGTCTTTACAAGGAAAATTCACAAAAGCTCAGGAAGCAGTGGATTATTAGTTTTCGTTTTTCTTAAACACCCCTGAGGTGCTCAAACAAATTGAAAAATATTTATTTCCTCACATTTGCTTTGTAATGGCGTTAGTACTGTTGCAGGTAATTGAAACACACCCAGCAGGCTAAAGTATATCCCAAGTCCTTGACTTTTACACGTTCCTGAGCTGAGGAACTCGAAACATTTTGGCCTCATAACGACTGACGAGCAGGACAAAAAATATAAGTTGCCAGACATAAAACCAAATGTGTAAATAGTCTACCCTGACTTTGAATTTGTTTTGTTTCCCGTTTGACTTCTTCCTGGAAATACTCAAATAAAAGGTCCCTCAACCTGAGTAAACATTGAACTTTTCAACAAACATATACACAAAGAGAAATTACTTTCTATTCCACCAATTCATGGCTCTTTGACTTGCAAATGAAAGCCAAGAAAGAAAAGTTAAGTAGGAAAGAAAATAAACAATTATGATCTTCATAACATAAGCAGAGGCTGCTAAGTATTCACAGACTTAAAGTCCTCCTAAAGCAAATTCAAAAAATTCGTTACCAAATTAATTTTTTAAAAAGTTGCCCGGAAGTCGAAGAAGCAACAACACAATTTGGCCAAATGACCGAAGGGAGGTTGTTAATATTTCAAAAGTAATTTTAAAAGTTCTCTCTCGCTTTTTCTGCGGTAATGAAAAAACCGGCAGTTTGTATTTCTGTCTTATTTTCAGAAAACCAAGTGTGAGACAGGGAAATACGCACTTTACAGTCCGTATACCATACGCACTAAATGTGAGCCTGGCCGAGACATCCAAACCGTTTTGATGTGCTCGCTGGGGGACAACGCGGCGTATGCGCAATTTGGCTGGTGCTTCTGCTCCTGCTTCTTGTGGCTCCTTGTCATGAATATTTGGGCGCCACTTCGGTGTTTCGCGTAATGAATTCTGTCATATGTCGACTCGAGTGGGAGCGGCACAGTGGTGTCATTTTTCTGGATATATAGAATCATCTGCCACAAAGTAATTTAATAAGAAATTCCACATACAATCAAATTAATTATTGACGTAACATTTCCTGATAACATCTTTCAATTACGCTTCTACTTAAAATTAGCAAAACAACAAGAAAATGGAATAACAATAATATTCTTCAAAAAGTATTTACAGTTAAAAGCTTTTTGACATTTTCAAAATTCAATTATAAGACTGTCGTTTGATGGGTTATAAAATCTATATTTATTTATGTTCCTCATTGTTTTTGATCTTGCGAAAATATTTTGCCAATATAATGAAATACATTTTTCTTAAAAAGCTTTTTTCAACATTGAGATAAAAATTTTTCGGCTAATTAATTAGAATTGTCAATATTTTTATATGATAATAAATTTTAAATATTCACTGTTAATTAAATATAGAACCACCGTGAATCTTAGCGGTTTTGTTTTTGTTTATTTTTGAGATTGGAGTACGCGTTTCGGAGATAAGATGAGACTGAGTCTGTGGCTGCCTCTTAAGTCTGCAGCTGAAGGCGATATACGGTGCACGGCCAACGAATTTAATACGATTACTTGGGTGACGCCTGTCTGCGAGCTTAATGGATAGAAGTGCCAATTGCTAAGCTGCAAAATTCTTGAGTCGTCAGTAAACCTCATCCGTTGTGGCGAGAACAATTACATTAAGGCAATTTTCGCAAGTACCAGTTGTTAGGCAAAATCAGTTTTGAAATGCAATTTATATTGATGTTTTGAAGAGTTCAACAGTTTCGTAACATAATTAAAGCTTACAGAATTCATTGGCAAACAATGCATATCAAGAGTCATAAATATTTTTATTGATTGTTATGAAATGTTGAATAAATTTTCGCTGCCCTTGCTGGAATATTTTCCCATCCGCAGGAGGTGAAAAAGGACTAGAATGTCCTGCATATTGTCGGCAATCCCCGCATATTGCCAGACCCCAGCGGAGCAGGATTGCCAGCGACATCTGTCTGTGCCATTTTATATCCCTGTGTGTCCCGGTTTTACGGTTCTATTTTTTCGCAAGTGGAAACCCGTTGCGTTGGAGGAGCGAAAAATTGCAACCCAACACCGCGAAAGGGTCAACAAAGAACTGGTCCTGGCAAACAGGAATTTATTACTCTGCAGATTGGTTTTGTCCGCTGATTGGTGGATGCCCCAGAGGTGCCAGTATGTGGCTCATAAAACGTGAACAGCCACACCAACGAAATATGAAATGGTGATTCAGAGTGGAGGGGACAGCTTAGCTCAAATAACCAGCAACAAGCTTGTTTTCATAAAAGGTGATGATGCAATGTTTGTCGTTTTTGCAATAGGTAGATAGCGACTTTTAAAACCCTTTGTACTACATGTTTTTAAATATGTAACATGCAATTGCAGCACTTTATTAAAGGATTACTAATATTAAAGGTTGTTTAAAAGCTGTCTGCTTTCACTTGTCTTTTTGAGAACAGTTGAAATTGATTTGTAAAACGGAATATGCAAGGACTGAAAGTTTCTGCGCAAATGAAATAAAAATAAGTGCAGCTGCCGAAAGGTCAGAGAGAATTAAAATTCCAGGACAAACTAATTTAGCAGCCATTAAGCCACTAAAGCCAGCACTCGAATTGAATTAAAACAAGATTAAAATGACCAATCCGACGGAGAGCCAAGTGCAGCTGAAAAAAGTTGCAGTTCATTTCCACGAAAGTTGAACGAATTTCCCAGAATTTCCGGAGGGCGGATCGACGCGACGGATGGAGGCTTTCAGACAAACGAGCCGCACGCCCCGGATTTGCGCTTAAAAGCAAATCCATGTTGCAAACGTCAAAGTCAGCCTCAGCCGGAAGGAGGAAAGTGCCCAGCCACCCACGCCGAGAGGCACGTGCATTGGGAATCAGTTAACCATTGCACATTAGGCTAATTGAAAAACAGGAAGGAGTGCCAGGACGGATGGATAGTGATGATGGCGCTGGCGATGACTTTGCGGTTGCGGTTGCACATTAATTGCAACATTCAGTATGCAAACAGACCGTTGCTCGATCCCTTTGATTGGAAATTCTGGACCGACGATGCGCTTGAAATGCAATTAGTGCGGCGGTTTGTTCGGCTGACCCCCAGTTACTCCCCGGCATAAATAGGGCTTTATTGGTGGAGCGATGTCTGCCCTGTGGCCAAGTGTTTTCGCCACTTTTGCCTTGCCTCGATTGGCCCGAGTTCACTTTGCTGTCACAACAAACCGCACATTGTGCGGCTTATGACATCCCCACCTCCGCACAACCCCCTTCTGCAGGTCAGAGGTCGTGTCAGCTCATGACATTGGCATGTCCACTGTCAAAAGCCCTCCTACTGAGTCAACTGCACTTGCATAACTCGACTGACAGGAGTTTCGTCCTGGAATGCTTGATTTATTAGAGTCAACCGGCACCCTTTGGGGGCAAAAGTTAATTAGAAAATCTAATTAAGCTCGGGCACTGAAATTGATGGTAAAAAACAAAGTCATAACTTTACCTTGTCTAGACACTTTACTAGTTCATTAAGTCGATAAAACACCCTGTTAGATTACAACTTGCAAAATAAAAGGAAATGTAAAAAGTCAAGGAAAAATATCGCAGAAGGACATGTGCCCCATAAATTAGGCTGGGCTCAATGCGAATCATAATCCGCTAAGGTAACTCTGAAGGTCGGCTATATCAGTTTTGTGGGTGGGTTATGGCCACTTCAACGAGCTTATACGGCGGTTTGTCCTACTTACGGGCTTGGCACATGACCCTAAGTCCTCGGCGGGCTCAGATGTCTGCGTATTATCATTAACATGAACAGCATTAGCATATTAATGAGGCCACCAAAATACATAACAAACCTTCATTAGGTTACACAACAAATAAGCAGGACGCGGCTTGTTCCCGCGAATGTACACATTTTCCGGTTGCGGGTTAAGGGAAAATTAGTTTAGCGAAAAGCTAACTATCCATAATGGGCAATGGGTTTCTGCTATCGTTCCTCATCTGTGCTTTAATAGTGTTTGGGAATGCCATTATTTACTTTATTGTTTTATCTTTATTGCCATTTCTAAACCCATCCCTTCCTATTTTCTATACCGGCTTGCATTTATGTTTTCTTTCTATATTTGGGGTATAGTTATATGACAACTTGTTGTAGTTTTATAACTAGAAGAGCCAGTCTCCCATAGAAGGTGCATCTTAAGAATATATTTAATTTTTTAATTCAATTATGGCAAAAACTATTCACAATTAAGGCTAATTCTTGACTATATGTAAATAATTAACTGATTAAATAATATTGGTTCTACATTATTTACTTACCTACTGCTTTCTTAAAGCTAGATTATCAGGGGCAGAAGTTACTAAGTTACCTAGGCTTTAGGATTGGGCTATTTTATAAATTTATTTACCAAGGTCATTTTCTTTCCCCGCAGATAATCACACCCACTCGATCTCTGGTGCTTTGCGCCGAGTCCCGCCGCGAAATGGAGGACTGGCTGGGCAGCCTGAAGACGGCGACGGCGGCGCAGAGGCCGCGTGGGGACAGCTTCCTGATCGAGCAGCACGACATACTGTCGAACCACCACCACTGGTACGCCACCTCCCACGCCCGCCCCACCTACTGCAATGTGTGCCGGGACGCCCTCTCCGGGGTCACCTCCACGGACTCAGCTGCGAGGTGTGCAAGTGCAAGGTGCACAAGCGGTGCGCGGCCAAGTCGATCGCCAACTGCAAGTGGACAACGCTGGCCAGTGTTGGCAAGGACATCATCGAGCAGGCGGATGGCATTATCATGCCTCACCAGTGGATGGAGGGCAACCTCCCGGTATCCTCCATGTGCTCCGTCTGCAAGAAGACCTGCGGATCGGTGCTGAGACTCCAGGATTGGAGGTGCCTGTGGTGTCGAGCTACTGTCCACGTGGCCTGTCGTCCCCAGATGGCGGTGGCCTGTCCCATCGGACCCGCCAAGTTGTCCGTCGTTCCACCTACCAGTGTCCACTCCATCAGCACCGACGACGCCTGGGATGTGGCCAGTCCCAGGGGCAACTTCTCGCCCTTGCTCGTTTTCGTGAACTCCAAGTCGGGGACAATCAAGGAGTGAAGTTCCTGCGACGATTCAAGCAACTGCTGAATCCGGCCCAGGTCTTCGATCTCATCTCGACGGGTCCGAGTCTGGGACTGAGACTCTTCCGGCACTTTGAGATGTTCCGCATCCTGGTCTGCTCGGGCGACGGATCTGTCGGATGGGTGCTCAGCGAGATCGATCGCTTCAACATGCATGTGAGTATTAATAATCCTTTAATTTTAACTAGAAGTTTTAGTTAGAAGTTCACTCTAAGACCTTGGTGGCAGTTGACTTCCCTAAAATAGATGCATACATCTTATAAAATGGATAACTAATCACAAATTAACTTGGTATCTCCTTTTTGAACCTGTACAGAAACAATGTCAGTGGCGGTGATGCCTTTAGGCACTGGCAACGATCTGGCCAGGGTTTTGGGCTGGGGATCCAGCTGCGACGACGACACCCACCTGCCGCAGATTCTGGAACGCTACGAATCGGCCAGCACCAAGATGTTGGATCGCTGGAGCATCATGGTCTTCGAGAAGGCCATTCCTGTGCCCAAAACGCCCAAGATGTCGATCAGCACCGAGCAGGAAGCCATGCTCACTGGCATGGTGACATCGGCCAACCACCATCTGCGCTTCATCGTGGAAACCAACGACACCCAGACTCTGATTAGCTCCACCCGGAATCTCTGCGACACCATTGACGATCTTGTGGTTCGAATCTCGGAACACCACAAGGAGGACGAACAGCTGGCGGTCAAGTGCGACATCCTCAAGCAGAAGCTTAACATGTTGCTGGATGCTCTGCAGGAGGAGGAGATCGGCGCCCACAGCGGCGACGATTGATAGCCACCATCAGGAGTCTCATTGCGAGAAGTATTCCGCTGACACCAGGATCCAGCGCCTCTCTGCTGTAAGTAATCGCAATGTTTTTTATTTATTTTATTTTCTTTTCTTTTCTTATTGAATTTTAAACCATTTAATGTAATTATGTTGTTATTATAACTCCCCACGAATAGCAACCCAAACATATCAATCGAAAAGACGGAAAAAGACCAGATCAATACAAAGGAGCGCAGGAATAGTCGGTCACTTCGCTCCAGCGAGAAGGAGGCTCTCCAGTGCCGTGCCAACAGCGTCAACGAGCCATTTACAATGTGGTGGAACATTCGGAACCGGGACGTCCTAAACGCTACCAGCGGAAACTATCGATCACTCCGTTCGAGGCCCTGAAGTTACCCACCAACAATCCGGGAGTCAACGCCCTGCAGCTCCCCTTGCCAATAATCCCACCCATTAATATTATCTCCCCCACTATGGAAACCTCCCGACTTACCTGCATTTCTCCGTTGCCCGATACAAGACGTGATTCCGTAGACGAGAGCTTCTTCAACAGCATTAATCTACCGGCTCCGCGGCAATTTGCAGATAGTCGTAGGAGCTCTGGAGTGGAGGTAATCCAGGAGATCGAGGAGGGTGCCAATGGAGAACCGTATATCGAAGGAGTCGCATGTCCTGACCGGTGGAGCCAATATCGATGATTTTGGTAATCGTTTGTCACCCTGCAGCGATATTGGCGATAACTCGCCCACCGAGCGCAAAGTGGACTTCCTGAGGGTTCCGATCCACACTGGCGAACCGATCGTCGACCCCCTTTCCGACTATCGACCCCACGAGGTCTTCGAGCGTACCTACTACATGACCCGGGAAATGGACAAGGACAAGGAAAAGGAGAAGGAGAAAGAAGTGGAGAATGACAAGGAGAAGGATAAGTGCGTCGAGAAGGAGAAAGAAGTGGAGAAGGAGGACTGCATGCCCACCGAGAAGCTGGTTCACACTTGTAACCTGCAGGTACCCGGCGTTGTCGTTACCCCCAACTCCCAAAATGTTTACACAAGCGCCAGCATAACAATCATAGATACCGACGCACAGACCACCACTGTACGTGTCCCATCCTTCGAAGAGATCTACCTCCACGATGATCACCTAACTCTGTTTGTTCGTTACAGGAACAGTCCTCTTCCGACGATCTGGGTGGCGAGGCTAGCGATGTTCTTTCGGCGATTAGCAATGAGGAGTGCAGCGTGGCTTCCGAAATATTCGATAAGCAGGACGCAGGACAAACCGTGGGTGATATTATCCAGGTGAGAAATGTACAACTTTGAGGATCTTGTTATTTTCATAGAACCTTTTATGTAAATATGTATATATCTCAATTCCGAAGTATTGCAAACTGAAGGCTTTATTAAAAACCTTGTTCACTTATTAGATGTATTTTTCATAATTTTCCAATATAGAACAAATTAAGGAAGATGATTGGCGCACCCGGTTATACAACCACAACATGGGTCCACCCGGGGGCGCCAACTAAATTTTCTTTCTAAAATTTCCAAGTTATATGTATTTTCTCTCATGCAGAACATGGACGCCAGCAATTTCACTCACATTGACTCCCGGAGACTAGCGATGAGACAGAAGCCATGCCCGGCGAGAGCATCATGGACGACATTAGCTCGGTACTGGGTCACGACATAACCTATGCCCTGCAGGACAACACCCTGACCGACGACACCACCACGCTCTGCTCGGAGCACGTGGGCCGCCGAACCTCCGCGCAAAAAGTCCTTGAGCGCCTGAGCCGACCCCAGCCCCATCCGCGCAGGCGCAACTCCTCTCCACCGAGAATGGCGCGATTGGCACGAATGGATAGCGATGATAATCCCCAGCAGTTCGGATTCGAGAATATCGTTTTCGAGATCGACAATCGCTGCGACGACCAGAAGATGCGGGAGCCACCGCGCTACTGCAGCCTGGCGCAGTTCGTGGAAGGTAACGATATAGCGCGTCAGAGCTTCAAGGTAGGTATCTCAGCCGATCGGGCTGGGTTAGCTGTATGTCTAGTTTGTATATATGTACCGAGCGTATCTAGAGTTGTTCTGTATGGTTGTCGGCAGTGCTGAGATATGGCCACTTATGGTAAACTCTTTGTTGCTCTACGTTTGCTTCTTTCTTCAACTTTTCTTTTTCGGCTGTTCAATCGATTCAACCAACATCTAACCAAATATTAACCCGTCCAAAATCGAACTAACCAAACTAAAATAAAACCAACCCTGCAATGTACAAAACCATCGACTACTTAACTAACTATACTCCTGCTCCCGATGAAGCGTCCCAAAAAGCGCATCTCACTGAAAAAACTCAAACCCACTACAACCACTGAAATCGTATCTCAACAGCAGCTATTGCTAGAACAACAACGAAGTGGCGACAACGACAATGACGACCCCGAGGCCCAGCTAACGCCAACGAATAACGTGGCCAAATTACTACCACCACCAGCGAGGACGAGCTGTCCACGCAGACGGCCATCAAAATAGAAATACAAGACGTTGATGCCACTGTGCGCAACATTAACAGCAGCATGAAGGCCAGTACTATCATGGCCACGTCGACATCGCCCACGAAGAAGTCGGGCCATGGACAAGATGTAAAGCGCATTACTTTTGACGAGTCGTGTAAGAAAGAATCCTTTGATGATGTAAATCCCAACTATCCACAGATAAGTGTTGTTGTGAGGCCGCCAACGCCGTTGCGCGGCGACTCCATCAAGCCCACGGTCTCGCTCCTGCCGGGCTCCTCCGGCGGAGCCATGGCCGTGTCCATGACCTGCTCCGGAATGCTGGGGGTGCGGGCCATGAACGCCTCCGAGATCAGGCGCCACTCGAGCCACGCCCCCGGCCTGACTGTCCGCGAGTTCGACAAGGACAAGGACCGCCGGCACTCTGGCTTTAATCCCAACCAGTTGACCCTCGATCCGGAGCACACCCGCTTCCTTAGCAGCTCGCCGGCGGCCAGTCGCAGGATCAGCTGCGGCAGCCTCTTCAAGGTGAGTCCCCGAGCAAGTCGCGAGTCCTCATCGTCTCTCTACAACCAGAACCCCTATTGCACGACTTAATTAAAGTGGCACAACAAATGGAACTTGAACCCAATATAATAAAATCATAAGAAACAAAAAAGAATCTGCATGGCTGCAAAGCTTTTTAATGAAAATTCTAAATACTTAGATGGTCTTTTGAATATGTCACGAAAACATATCAATATTACATTTTCTTAACCATTTTCATGAAAGGTTTTAAGTTCAATTTTAAGTTCGTTTAAGTTCGGGGGTCACAAGGGTTTTCAATCACTTTTAAACGTAATTTATGTGTCTAAGAAGTATTCGGCAATATATGTAAGTTACATTCAGAAGTTCAATTAATTCATTCAGAGAGACGACTATTTTTATGAGCCGCATACTTTTAGACACCTTGAATTGCATTTTTATTTATATTTCACAACATTTTCTTGTCGAAATTAACTGAATTTAATAATTCCGCAAAGTAAGAATGGCAGATACACTCAAAAATATCAAAGAGATTTACAAATGGAGAAAGCTGCAATAAAATATCATACAGCTGATTTGAAATGTATATTATTTGTAAAGCCTCAAGGCACTTCAATAAACCATTTCGAGTTGTGCTACTTCAGTTAAGTGCGTGCGATATGTTCAATCCAAATTGGCACCGCATCGTCGGCAATTGCGAAGTTCTTGAGTTTTGATTGTGTCAGGCGAGCAATTGGTGTCAAGTGCAAATGCAAGTGCAGAATGCAGCTCTCATACAGCCACACACTAACAACAGCGACTGTAGGTAATGGTTCGTACAAGTAATTCCCAGTCAACCACCAACCACCAGGGAGTTCTGTAAAAAAATCTGGATTCTGTTCCAGGTACTCACGTACTTTTAGTTTGCAGCTTACGCAGTATTAATTTGTTTGGAAACATTTCGTACGAGTTCGGAGAGTTCATTAAAAGGGTAAATTGAAGGGCAGTTTGTAATTTGGTGTAAAGTAAAAACTAAACGAAATCAACGTTTTGTTATTCGTTTAGTTTATTTGAGAGTTCTAATTGTTGGAAAATAAAGTTACAACTTTTCGCCAATAATTTAAAATGATATGAAACTGTACTAGATGTTTCCTTTTTGTTTTTACGATTATTATTTTCCACCGTACTCCTAAGTCATCTTAGTTAATTTAGACAGTTAACAGTTGTTTAAACCACTACAAAATAAAACCGTATAAAACAACCATGTATATGATTTACAAAAGCACAAAAACAATTGGTACGTATTTCAAAATTCATTCAACTATATGAGCTTTTGTTTTATATATTCTTAACCAACACTACAAATCTACACCACAAAGACACTATACAGCCCAAAACAGTTGAGTGTAATTAAATATTAATATTCACACATTGTAAATGGTTAACATACAGAACTAAACACGATTTCTAAAAGCAAGGTCATTCTAAATACATTTTCTTAGAAGAAAAACCAAAAGATCGCAACGAAGCGCGGCTACGGATTGTTCAGTGTTCGGTTCTTTGTGGTGGCCGAGCCAGATATTCGCCTGGCCACCCTGGCGCTTATCAGGCCGCTGATTCCTCTGGTAAGCCAGTCCAAAAATCCGGGGGGAGTTCCAAGTGCTCGGGCACCGGCCCCTCCCCACTCTCCCTGTTCTGATCCCAAACCGTTTCTGCGTTCCTTCGTTCGTTCGATGTTTAAACTCCCCAGCAAACCCAAATATCTGGAAAAGCGACTAATAGAGTAAAATCTTCGGACTGACCGAAGTGGACCTGTTACAAATTCAAAATTTATACATGCTTATCCTACGAAATGTACTTATCCAATAGCACATTCTTTGACCTAAGAACTTTCTTGGTATTGTCCGTCTAAAACTTATCTAACGTCATTAAATCGTATATATCTTACGTATATTATTTTTTCATATTTAAAGTTATTACTAACCGATTTGCAATGGGTCCCCAACAGTCATAAAAATTAATAATCCCTCTGTACAAAGCGTCTCTTTGAAGTGCCAGTTGCAGATCCTCAGCACCTGCGTCAGTTCGCTTTTGAGTAGTGTTGCAAAGTAACCAATAAGTAAACACCTCTGTTAAACAACACCTAAACGAAAACAACAGACACACGTAGCCTCTGCTTAATACCCGACCATCTATAATTTCAATTGATTTGTTGGTTTTACGTAGTGCGCTGTCTCCTATGCTCTGCCTTACTCACACTCACTCCGCCTCTGTTCCTCTCTCTCTCGCTCTGTCCCTCGAAAAGTACTTACCAACCCTGCGCCGTATATGCAAGTCACCCAACACTGGCACACTCACCCACACAGAGCCACACTCGATCACATCCACATGTTTCTTTGTATCGTAGTTAGTGCTGACTTTCCGGTTGCTCTTTGACACGTACTCGACTTGTCAGGATTATTGACTTCCGCGACTAATCGAAACCTCTTTCTTGCAGCCGAACGAAGCCTTCCGAATCTGCAGACCCTTAAGGGTCCAAGTCGAGTTGTTCATGGGCTCCACTCTATTCGGCTTCGATCACTTGGCTTCGGGAGACAAGGACAAGGAGGAGAAGGTGGCAAGGACAAGGAGAAAACGCCCACTGAGGAGACCGGTCGCAAGTTGCCCATCATCAATCCCCTGGTGCGACTGCCCAACTGGCCAAGTAAGGATCACTTCATCCTAATTTCCTTAATTCAATGTTAAAATTGATTAATTGATGATCTTTTCTCCAGACCTTTCCAATGGCGGTGGTTTCATATCCAAATGTCTTTTGGCCAATGCCGATACGCTCTGCGCCGCTGTCAGTCCTCTAATGGATCCGGATGAGACCCTCCTGGCCGGCTACCATGAGAAGTGCGTGATGAACAATTACTTTGGCATCGGCATCGATGCCAAGATCTCGTGGACTTCCACAACAAGCGGGAGGAGCATCCGGAGAAGTGTCGATCTCGGGCCCGCAACTACATGTGGTATGGGTATTGGGATCCAAGCAGCTCCTGCAAAAGACCTGCAAGAATCTGGAGCAGCGGGTGCAGCTGGAGTGCGATGGTCAGAGAATCCGTTGCCGGAGCTGCAGGGAATCGTGATCCTGAACATACCCAGCTTCATGGGCGGAACTAATTTCTGGGGCAGCAGCAAGAAGGATGATATATTTCTGCCCCCCAGCTTTGATGATCGTGTCCTCGAAGTGGTGGCTGTCTTCGGATCCGTCCAGATGGCGGCCTCGCGGCTGATCAATCTTCAACACCATCGGATCGCCCAGTGCCAGAGCGTGCAGATCAATATCCTGGCGACGAGGAGATACCCATCCAAGTGGACGGTGAGGCCTGGCTGCAGCCACCGGGAATGATCCGCATCCTGCACAAGAACCGAGTGCAGATGTTGTGCCGGAACAGGAGCTTGGAGCTATCGTTGAAGAGCTGGCAGGAGAAGCAGCGCCAGCACAGCATCTCCATCCAAAGGATGCATCCTCAACAGCTTCGGAGCACGCCATCTCCACCGACGAGGTGATCTCCGAACGCGAGTGCTACGTACTCCTCAACTTTATCGAGGCCGTTAGCTCGCTGGTCAAGTGGGTCAAGTTCCTGATCATTTCGCATCCGGCTCTGCAACACGATCTCTACGAGGTGGCCTGTCGGGCCAGTGAGGCCCTGGAGTCCATCCATCCGCAGGGCAAGCTGCTCGAAGGTCCTTCGCTACGCACCAAGTTGGTGGAGGTCATTGACTCGTCGCGACAACTGTATGACGATGCCTGCACCCTGCTCCGCGATCGAGGTCACAGCTTGATTCTCCGCGAGGATCTGGAGACGAAGCTCAGCGCGGCTTTGGCCAACATGGAGATGGAGCTGAAGAAGTGCTCCGTGCAAAAGTGCATCGACGGCAAGCTGAGGGCCTACTTCAATGTTTTGGCGCCCAACGAGGAGGTGAGTGGGAAAATATTTCGCCATATCAGTAAAAAGGAAAACATATTACACGACCTATCTAAAGAGTCCCGTTAAAGAGCGTTCGTAGTGTTTAACATATATCATTCTTAAAAAGCTTTTAATATTATTAAAATAGAAGGAAGCTTCTTATTAAATGACTCAGGATGTTAGTAAAAAAAAATTAAAACAACTTTTTCTTTGTTATAAATAGTTATATTTTTAAATTATTCGTGTTTGATATAATTCTCTGCACTTTATGGCGATTTTTTTCTTATTTGGAAATATATTTCTCTTTCGCAGTCCGATGGCCGCCGGAAGTCACGACCCTTCTGGGTGAGACTACGCTCGGCTCGACCGCCGGCCAGCAGGCGTTTAAGCCACCTTTGACTAACACCCGAGAGGCGGCCAACAACTGGAGCGTGAACGAAGTGGTCACCTGGCTGGAGACGATGCAGTTGTCCGAGTACGTGGACAGCTTCCTGAAGAACGACATTCGGGGCAAGGAGCTGCTCACCCTGGGCAGGCGCGACCTCAAGGATCTGGGCGTGGTCAAGGTGGGCCACGTCAAGCGTATACTGCAGGCCATCAAGGATCTCAGCGAGAACTAGACTTTCCGTTGGGACTCCGATACCGGCTAGTACAAAAAGATAGTCTTCGAATCGCGCTCTTAGAGATGAAGGGGGAATATATTGAGTTGTAAGCGATCACTGGGAACGTAAAGTTATGGGACAAAAATGCATACAACAATCACTAATTTATAGGCTAGCTTAGCTAACTTCACAAACGAAAGGGGAACGGATTGAGCGAATGAAGAGGAAAACATTCGATGGAAACCTAAATTAACTACTACTCTCCGACAATTAACTCGATATACAACTATTGATTGGCAGAGAATTGTAAATTTTTTCAGCTCCTAGCCATGTAAATCGAGACAAAAACGAAAAGCACTTAAAATTGACTTTTGTTTTTTCGTATACGTATGTCAACTTGAAGAACACAACAAATTGGCAGTTAAACGAATTTAAACGTAGTGGCACAAGCGAAAACTTAACAAAGCCGATAACTGCAGTTAGATATTAAGTGTTTACCCTTCAACTTACGCTTATATTAAAGAAATCCAAGATCCCATTCCCAAAAGAAAGCTAATGAATCCAAATAAAAACGCAAGTAACCGACTTAACCAATGAAATCGATTCTAAATTTATAAGCAATTTAAATTTTACAAAACCTTAACAAAAAAAACTGCAGCCCCAATCCAATCTAAACATTATATAAAATATACTTATACATATACCTAAAAAAGATATTCGAAACTACATTTAAATGTTTCCCCACTATTGTTAAATCGAAATGATGCTAATGTTAATGCAAAGTCGGGAGCCAACTCTCGTAATTGCAGCAAAGAAAAGTCTGTTAAACGTGTCATTTTTGTGGTAACCAAAAGCAACTCTAACTTGTTTATTTAAATGAATTTAGTTGTTAAGTCCGCGACGTTTTTTCAAGATAAGTTTAGGTTAGAACCTTGGGGTCTTGGTGCCGGATGCTGGGCCCCCGAAAAATTTATTTGGTACTTTATACACGCATATGGTATAATCTTAGCTAGCATTGGAACACGGAATTCCGGTGTTCGGAACCTTTTTGGTAATCCTTTTAATTGTTTACATTTAAGGAATCCAACCCCTTTTATCCAAAACGTTTAAGTGTTAGGAACGAAATTGTGCTAAATTTTTTATAAACGTCAACTTTCGATTTGATCAATTATGTTACTCTATCTCTCTATCTAAATACGAATATATAAATATAGCTGCATATGAGTAGGTTTAGCAGTCCACTGATCTGATCTGTTTTGGCCCATCCTCAAATGTTTGCTCAAGTTGCCTCCAGTTGAGTGAGTTTTTGAAATGGCACTGCGGTAGGCGAGCTTTGTCTATAACAAATCACTTGAGCGAAGTCTATAAATTATATTTTTTGATATATAAGTATAAATGAGCCCAGACCAACTCGATTGATTTGTTGTGATCCTACCACGAACTTATTTTCCAAAAGCACCAGTAGCAATCCTATAATTTCTAATATTTTGACACATATTTGAGAAACTATTTACGCTTATGAGTAACCTAGATAAAACATAAAAAATGAAGGATATTAATAAATGGAATAGTATCCTTTTTCATAATAGATAAAAAACATAAACACAATGTTAAAAATTGAGGACACATTTTTTCGAAAATTTTTCGACACATGTATTTTCGAGCAAACTTTAATGTAATTAAAACCAAAATTAAACAAAATCGTAAGACAATTGTATATTTAATTTATATATTTAATGGAAAAATCTGATCGGCATTTCGCATCCCCACAGAAAGTTGAAATTTCTTCGGTTTTTCCATGTACCACCTCTAATCAGCCTTCATTGATTTTATGTTGTTTTTAAAAAAACTGTGATAACAGCTTTCTACATTTCTGTAATAAAAGTCTACAAAGATCAGCAAAATGAACATAACGTAATTCGTGAAGTGCAATGAAACATCAACTGTAAAGTCTTATAAATAGTTCGTCTACAATCAGCAAATAGGTAATGCCTATGAAAACCATTTACCAGCAATAAATGTTTTACAATATATCTCAGTAATGTAATTTCAAACTACCTATTTCCCAAACCCTAGAAAAAAGTAGCAAGTGTAAAACCTGTCTGTGCAGAACTATCTCTTGATGACAACAACAAAATCGATAATACAGATAAGTAAAAAGCAAATTATAAAGCAACAAAATTTCCTATTAAGCATAATACATAAAATATAATAGAAAACATTTTCTTTAAGAAAAACCTAATAACAGCAATAATAAAAGCAAAACAAAACAAAGCTAATTCGTTTTATTTTCACACACGTTTTTCGTAGAGTAAAGGGTATATTATATTCGGGGAAAAGTATGTAACAGGCAAACCGCCCAAAACTGTGGCGCCCTCAGTTGTTTTGCTGAAACTACAATTTCATCTGAAAAATATTGGTTTCGCCATTACCTATCGATAAACCTAAAAAAGGTTTCCTCGCTCTACCTACAAATTGTTCCAATTGAACCGCTCATTAAGAGGTTATAGCCAAATGTTGTAATCGGCGCTAGGTGGCGCCCTACAGTCTCCTACAAAAGTAGCTTGGCTTTTTGCACATCTCCATCTCCCTTTACTTAAGTATCGAATATCTGACAGTCGAAGAACTATACTATATACGAGACACACTACTAAGAGTTGAATCAATAAAGATCGTTTTTCTGAAGGAACCAACATTATTCCAAGATATCAAAACAAGGGTTTTAAAACGTTTATATGCATTTTTCATTTATTCGATTCATACAATGTTATAATCATTATACCATCACTTGTTTTTTCGGTTTCTATTTTATTTTTCAATTAGTCCTCTTTCATATGATTCGGCCACTTTTTTCAAAGTTAATTTATAATTATATTATATCGTGTTATTTAGCATTTCTATGAAGGCTATTTGGTGTGCCTTTTTATGACAATTCAGAAAAATTATCAATTTGGTTGTATTGTTATTGATTTTTTTGTATTTCATATGAGGCTTTCTTTTAATTCATTAAAATTGTAGGCGCATTTAGGCGTGAAAGTCAATTTTTTAAAATTGTTTAATTGATTGGTGTCTTTTATATTTTGCTGGTGAACCGAAAATTGAAAATATTTATTGTTTTGACTTTCATATAAGTGTTTATAAAAATCGATTTTCCTTTTCATTGTTTTTGAAGAAAAAGCCTTTGTCGTGCGCCTATTTTGGAATCGTTTTGGGAGTATAATTTGTTAGGGTTTTCTTTTTCTGCCTTATTAATCATTTCATATCCTTTTGTAAACAAGCTAGAATATATATCAAGTTCGTTCTTAAGTAGATTCATATTAAAGTTGCCTAAAATTTGTTAAGTACGATATTTAAAACTAAATGAGTTCAAGAGTCTACCATTCGGTTGTGTTATTTTTGTTTTTATCAAACTGTAACTGGAAATATAGTTTTCTTTGTGTATGTGAGTGTGCATTTCTGTTTGTTTCATTTAATCTTTTTAGGGGATTTTAGAGATTGCCAGAGTTTAGTTAGTTGTTCTTATTATTTATTTCTAACTAATGCATTTGACTGGATCGAATCGGTGACAATACTAGGACTGAGCGTAATAAACAATTTCTGTCAGGGGCACTTGATAATATGCATTATAATGGTAACTATTTATAAGATTCAGTGATCAACTCATCGATTTCAACTAACAAACGGGTCCATTCATGAAAAACATATAAAAAATACTCAACTGTAATAAATACCATTGAAGTGGCGTTATTTCCCTTCTTAATTTTTTTGTTTTGTTATTTTGAGTTTTATATTAAAATATATATAGGCAAGCAACAATTAAGCTCAATACTGAAGTTAATCACACAACTTATGGGTAATGAAATTTTAACTTCAGCTTACACGATTTTGTCTTATTTCTTTATTTTTTAGAAAGGTTTAACATTCAAGCAGTTCACCTACGGGAAAGAAAGTTTCTGCCAAACTGAGTTTTAATTGGTAATAAGTTTGTACTGAAACACTGTCTACACTGAGAGGTATGAGAAACAGAATCCAACAAAATGCTTGTACAAATTACATCAACTTTCTCAAAGCTATTGCCCTTCGGGAAGCATTTGTCTTAATCATTTTAGCGCTAACTTTACTCAAAACATATTTAAATCGGTTAGGTCTTTACCATTTTGTTTGATCATTTTGTTTCCTTTTTTGTTTCTCGACTATTTTCACATACACGTAATAGTTATATAAGAAATGTAGGCATGTCTGAAACTAGTTTCACAGCTTTTCAAAGCATAATCTCATTTTTTCGCATTTTCTGTGTAGTATTAGTATGTTTTACTGGTGTTTTCTGTGTGGTGTTGCTTTGTTTTAACCATCATTCGCCTTACGTTTTTATTAGCCAAAATGTGTCTTAAATTATACTTAACATCATGTTGTCGTATTTGGTATTTTTCCCTTTTGTAATTCATGTGCAAAATCTATTATCAACTTTTGGTATTTGACGGATCAGCGGTTTAGCTTAGATCACCTTATGCATTACCCAAATATACGGCTTGGTTGCTCAACTAATGAAAGTTACAAAAATGTGAGTATATCTCTTTCAATGGCCTCACTTTTTGGACGGGTCTTTGCGGTGATGTTTGTCCCATTTAAATATTTATTTTTTATGATTGGATGATGTCGAAATATTGCAAAGTTCTCTGGGTCAATTGCAAATTATACAACGTTGGTTTGATTTTGTATTCTGTTTGGGTAGAGGCAGTGAAAGTGTCTTACATAAATAAATTTTTGGTGTAATGCTCGTGTCGTTAGATGACATTTGGCCTGATTAGATTTGCTTGCAGCACTTTAACTTGGAAACCAAAAGCGAATTTAACTTTACGATCAAGATCAAGCCAAGTCGAAATGGGACTTTCCTTAAATACCGCTTACATGACGACACATTTTTCCATCACTTAAGATTTATTAGTAGAACTTCTAATTAAAATTATGTAAAAATATATTAATATTTTTTGGGTTGATAAGGGAAAATTATAAAATTTCAAGATCTTTAAATTTATAATTTAAACAAAATAAAATTTACATTTCATATACCTTAACGGAAACAAGATTTCTTATAAAAACTTATTTAGACAATTACTGAGGAACTGTTTTTTAATCTTAAATAGGTACGAAATAACAATTTTATAAACTTAAACTTAATTCGGACTTGAACAAATGGGATTAGAAAAATGTGTCGCCGTGGAATCAGGCTCTTAGATAGGATAGATGGTGTATATGATTAGGTATTGCATAACGTCTATTACGTATCATAATTGCTTGCTTTCGAGGGCCAACTAGCTGCCCTGGGGAATACATTTTGCACTTGAAAAGCACTGAGTACCTGATCTAGGATCTAGGATCTAGTATGCAGATCTAGGATCTAGACGCTCTCCTCCTTGCTGGCGCTGCTGCCCCAGAATCGATCGAATCGGTCGCGTGCCCTCTCCAGGACCTCGGCGGCAGTGGTCCGGGCGGTGGAGGCCGTGGCCGTGCCCGTCGACGAGGAGGACGACATCGCAGGATCCGGCTGCTGGGGCGGCTGGTCCTGGGCGGCAGTGCACCGCACCGCCCCGCCCGGCTGGCCGGTGGGCGTGGCATGGGGCGTCAGCGTTTTGCCGTAGATCGCGGCACTGGTGGTTGGACTGCAGGACTTCCAGGCTGGCGGTATGGCAGTGGTCGAGAGGGTGGGGGGAGGGGGAGATAGTTTTGGAAATAGTGTTTCGTTATGTTACGCAAGGATCTACGGTTTCGGGTACGCTATGTGATTGCATTGGCTTGCACAATTTGCTTTTGGCTCGATACAGAGAGGGGGAACTTTGCTTTTTATATTATGCCTATCGAGATTGGCTTGATTTGCTGGTGTGGTTTTTGGTTTTGGTTTTTGGCTAACGATGATTCGATTTTTGGATTTCTTGATGATGTTTGTGAGTAGCGATACATACATATACATATACAGATACATATATTTAAATACGAGTTAATATATAAATATTTGTAAAAGCGATTTGACTTTTTTTTTGGTTTTCTGGTTTTGTTTTGTTTGTCGACTTCATTTGGTTTTGCTGATGCTTTTGGTATGGAAGTTTTGCGTTTTTTATTGAAGCGTGCTTAATGGCTTACCGTCCATTTTAGCCTGTTCGGTTAGTTGTGGCGGTGCCGATTGTGGTGGCGGTGGGGGCTTCTCCACCGGTGTCGACGCTTTTATCTCGCTCTGAGGTCGGCTATAGTTCTCCCCTGCAGAAAAAATAGTCAATTAATTAAAGTACTTTTAGGTAAGACAGTGATACACTTCGTAGGCAGAAATAATGGATGCAGCTAGCAATTTTACGACTTTTACGGCAATATATCCAGTTTTCAAGGATATCCAAACGAAATGTACCACCATCCTAGATTTACTTTACCATCTTTGACATTCTGCGTAACCGTAAAGGTTTTGCCAGTGTCTAGGGGCACCGTCCAGTTGACTGGATCGGGAGAGCGCATTATGATCTGCTCCGGGGACTTGACCCGGGTCGGTTCTGGTGGGGACTTCACCAGGGGCTCCTCAGGCACTTCCGGCACTGGAGGCTGGGGGCTGCAGCTGGAAATGGAAATGGCAGTCTCACGACCATCCTCGCCATCGTCTGTTGGTGGGGAAAATATCCAAGAGCATTTATCAATGGTAATTCATGTTGGTTTCGGGGTATGCGTTATGAAATTAACTTGATTATAGGCGCATTTTATGTTTGAGTTATTTCATTATGCTGCCGCAGCTGTTGATCTTCAATATATTTTTTGGATTTTTCCTTTTTTCGGTAAGCAAATTTTGTGTTTGAGTTTTACTGGTTAGTAGTTGTAACATAAAACCGAAATAAATATTTGTATTTGTAACTTAGTTTGGTAACCAAAAACTGAAGGAAACTTAGTCAACATAAGTATATTAAGCCAGAAGCTTAAAAGGCAACAAATTGTTAGTAGAACCAAATGAATTTTCTTCTTTTCATAATTTTTTAAAATTTTATAAAGCGCACAACATGAGAAACAGCATGCCACAAATACACAAACAGACACGCAACATGTAAATGCGAAGAGGAGTAATAAAACTAATAATACTTTTATGTTTGAATAAATTGGTATTGCTGTAAGAAATTCTGGTGTAGAACTTGTCTGGTTATTTTTTATCGGTGAATGTTTTTGGGCAGGCAACAACCAAGGCGTCGACGACAGCTGGCAAATTAGTAAGTTATACCTGGCACTTTAAAATGGACTCCGAGAAATACGAACACTACTCAACTATCTTCTGAATTGTCATAATAAAAGATTAGTAAAGGAAAAATGGCTAACTATATATGGTAAGGTATTGAATTGGTGTTTTAAAAATGCTTTACTCGTCCCTCATAATTATTAAACTAACCCCTAACTAATACTTTCTTCTAGTGTAACTATAACTTAATAAGTTTTTTTTAATATCCCGGCACTTTTGTTTATTATTAGTGTCTGTGGAAAAGTGTTTTTTGTAGATTATGTTATGTTAAAAATAAAACTCAACACATATAGTCATTAATGAGAAGGATATAAATGCTACCAACTTTACATATGTACATAAATAAGAAAAAATTGGGTATATAGAGAAGTGATTCAGAGTAATGAAACACTACGAAAATCTACAAATTATGAGACGCACATGAACAGAGTATTCAATTACAATTGCTTATACAGATACATGACTATAGACAGACGGTTGATATACAACATTTACAAACATTGATTACAACAACAACTAACATTTAATAACAACGCATTTTGCTCTTTGGGTGTACCCACAATATCCAGCAATTAAGAATTTTGAATTTCATTTTCGTACTTTTCTGGGTGATTTTTAAATTTGCATTTTCAGGACAGGCGGCCAGTGGAATAACGATAATTTCTATACAAATCAAACTACAATTTTGTACAATTTCTAGGTCCAATCTATAAATACACATAATTCCACTTGGCTTTGTCAATGAAAAAAAACACACATACGTTTATCTAATCGATGATGCCAATTGGTAAATCATAAGCTTAATCACTTTTCACTAATTGTGGATGAACAGTTTTGACCAAGGTGTAAAATGCTTAATTATTAATAGCGTTTTAAGAGTTCTTTTTTTGATAGATTGGGTTTTACAAAAGTTGCAACACAAACATTTCGCGCATCAGATGTCATTTTACAGCATTTTCCGTGTATTTTTACTTTTTTTAATGGGTTTATTTTTTGTTTAGTTTGGGTTTATTGAAGAGATTTTTGTTTTTGTTCAAGTTTTCGGTGAAACTTTACTCACTTTCAGCCAATTTTCTATCCTGACCTGGTACCGTGAGCCGTTTGATGTTGATGGTTGCAGGCCGGGTTGGGTTTTGAGCCGATGTTGCTGCTGCTGCAGTTGCTGCTGCAACATCGTGTTGCTGCTGCGGTTGCTGTTGTTGTTGTTGCTTTTGCTGTTGCTGTTGCTGCTGTAGTTGTTGTTGCTTTTGCTTATTCTGCAGATGCTTGACACTATTTGCTTGACTACCGCTACCAGCACCAACATGACTACCACTGCCAATGCAACTACTATTCGATCTATCTTTGTCTTTCTTACGCATTTGCTGTTGCTGCTGTTGCTGGGCGGATGTTGCCGATGGTTTTGGAAATTTGCCGCTGCCGCTCTTGGCTTGTGATGATTGTGATTGATTAGCATGAGGCTGATTAGCGTTTAATGCTGATTTAGCTGCTGATGTTGCTGCGGTTGCTGCTCGGGTTGCTGCTGCTGCTGCTGCAGTTGCTGGCGGCGCTGAGGCTACTCTACCGTTGGGCGGTGGCAGGGAACTACTTTTAATGCGGGATTGGAATGTTGTGGATAGGGTGGCTATAAGAACGTAAGCAGTTTTCGGTTTTTTTTTGTTTTACGATGATTTTTGGTTGTCGTTTTTCAAAGTTTTTTACATTTTTTTGTACCGAAAACAAAACGCACGTAAAAAAAAATTATTAAATGTATTTTCATTAAAAATGTTTTATTTGGTTTGTGACGAGAAGTCGAGAATGCAATCAAAGCAAAAGCTTAAAAATGTCCCAAGAAAAAGTTTGAAAAAATTAAAGCTTAATAAATGAAACATGAAATGCTATTAGTGGCGTTCCAACTTTCTTTTGGTTAGTTGTGTTAACAATTTCAAGGAGTTAGTCTACTTAAATCAAGCTAGTGTTATCTTTAGTTTGCAGCTTTCGAAAGGAGAACACAATGTTGGCTTTATGACCCTAAATTCAGGAACAGGACTTACAGGAAAACGAAACCCAATGAGGATTAAGTACATTAAATGGGTAGTTGGTTAGCTTTGACGCACAAAGTTTATATTATAAATATATGTTACAGATATTCGGGATGTAAGCCAACAGAGTTACACTTAAAGTTAGTAGAAGGATAACTGAATACAAATTAAAACTGGAACGGATTAGACACAACACTGAACTGGAATTGTTAGTATTACTTTTACTTACTTACAGATAAGTTTAATTGGTTTATTGTTTTAGTTGGTTTGTTAATCGGTTATTGAATTTTGTTAGTAACGGTTCACTCAACATGCTAAACTATAGATTTTAATGTACTCGAAAGACCAATCAAACGCTGCATTACAGAGAGACAGTGATGGAAACTCAAGTGGGTAACGAATGAGAATAAGAACCAAAAACGTAACTGCATGACCAGAGACTAAACTAACAAATGTTTAAAACCCAAAAGTAAATCGTTTTTAACTATGTTTTTACTAGTTTCTTTAGACACTCAACTAGATGGTCGTTCGAAATACGTTTTGGATTTGGAAGAACGTACAAACTGGAGGTGAGATCAGTAAAAACTAACTAAACTAGGATCAAATCCGGCAAATAAACCAAATAAGGCAACGAAAGATCGAATCGGAACGCAATCTAATTAACACATGACATATGCAAACTAGGACTAAATAAATAAGGCAATGAACGCATCGCATCGTTCCATCAACTGAACAGACTCGAGTTTCGGGTATTTGGCTGGGGGATCTGTGGGTTTGCCTCCTCCAAAATGGCTACTTACATGGGCGTGCCTTGCGCTCGCTTCCGCTTCCGGTTGTCGGCGTCTTTTTGCGGCTGCTGGGCGCCTGACTCGCCGACCGGATCTGGCGCTTCGGTGACTCATTCTCAGCAACGCCCGGACCCGCCGATTGCGACCGGGCTGAACAGCACGCACATGGACACGGATACGGATGAGGATGGTTCGGTTTTCGGTTTGCGATTTTGGTTTTTGCATTTCGTTTGTTTCGTTATTTTTCGAGATTTTGTTGTATGGTTGGTTGGTGGTGGTGGCGGTTTGATTGATGATAGAAGTACGATTTGTATGTTTTAATTTAAGTTCGCATTTAGCAAGAGAATTTCATATTCGATGTGTTGGGCTGGGTAAGCCCATTCTACTGGTGATATTTGTGTGGGTGTTTCAAGTGAAATATTGTACAAGATTTCGTGGAGATGCGCTACAACTTAAGGTCCGAAAAAAATTCTTCTTATAATTGTATTTTAAACCCTACACTTTTCGGCTCTAGCTACTATTTTAAATATCCGACTATTAGCAGGACCACATTTCATCAAAAGGCAAAATCGTGTCCAATATATGTAGTTGGTGTCACTAGCTCTCAAGTTTTTTCCTACGAATGTCTAAGCAAAAACAGTAGATACAGATTATATCAAAGAAACCTTATACTCTGTGGTCTAAGCTTTTTCATAATCGATAGTCTCAAAAACCAGTTAAGGAAGAAGACCGAAATTAACCTCATTATGATAAATTAATTTTTGTTATCCACATAAAATAAACACCCAAATTGTACACAATTTAAACCTTTAAAAGCTAATCCTATGCATAGCAATATACAGCTACTATTCAAACTTATTTACAGCCTGGCACACTCATACATTCATTAGCCCAGAACACCGAAATTATATATATAAGCAATATGAATGGATGACTATGGGGGATAATCCTTCTCATTGTCCACCCAATAAATTAATCTTAGTTTATGATGGCTGATGGAGATAGACATAAATAGTTCTTAGAGGGTTTTCTACAAAACATGTCTTAAGTGAATAACATGAAATGCAACTTTCAACCGATTTCAAAACCAAACCCTCGATAAAAATGGGCAATGTAAGTAACAAGAAACTACATTAAGAATGTGCACAAATCTCATAGCCCAACAAGTCTTCGGTGCACTCGTCAAGGATGAAAATCGAGTCGACTCCTTCGACTCTCGGAGGGAAAAATGCAAATCAAACGGTTGAAGCAGTTGAGCAAACTATGGCAAAACGGAAATCATAGGAAACCAAATCAAGTATTGATAACGGGGCGTATACTTATTGTTGGAGCGTGTACAATTGTTCTGTTCTGTTCCCGAACTTGTAACTCTATTGGTGAGTGCATTTTGTGTACTTGTGTCATAGTTGCTTAGGATAAATTTGCTATTCGGATATGGTTAACTTTGGAATTGAAATCGGAGTATATGCATTCTTTCTGTGTATCTTCTGCTGGGGGTCGGCATTAAAGCGTGGAATTACTCACTTTTGAGGACCTTCTTGGGGCTGCCCTTTTGGGGACTGCCCTTCTGAGGCGATCCGTGCCTGGATAAGGCGGTCTTCTTGGGACTTCCGCGCTGAGACTCCGATTCCCGCTTGGTATGGCCGGCATCAGTTTCTCGCGCGTTGGCGAGGGCAGCAAAGCTCCCTCCTCCACATCTGGGGAAAATCGGAAAATATGAAGAATTAACCTGGACTGCTCCACTTATACTTCAACTACTCACCCGGACCTGTGGTGCGTTCAAGGTGATGACGTATATTGCTAAAGCGTGCTGGCAGTGCTGAAATCTCATCCTTATTATCAATCAAAAAGGCTTGGCCAGGAACCGTGGCTTCTGGGCCTTTTGCAATGGCGTGGATTTCTTATTGTTCTCCTGTTCCTTCTCCTCCTTTGTAATGGGTCTGGCAGAGTACAACGAAATTATTAATTATACTTATTTACTTTAAAATCTAAATTATTTACTTGACAACATAAATGTAAATTCAATACAAATAGTTTTAATGTCTACAGTTATCGCTATTTACTTTGATTGGCACTTAAATTTTATAATATTTTAAAGGCTGATAGTATTGTTTTTAATAATATTTAAAATAACTTTACCTATGAACAGTCGAAGCTAGGGAAAGTGCTGAAAGTGAGCTGCGCTTGGAAACCTGATCCCACAATCCTTCTGTTTCTTGTACAACTCCGGATCGATTTCTATGCCCCAGCCGCGACACTGAAATAAATAAATGTATATAAAACGTTAGAGTAAAATAAATAAAACATTAATTAATTATGAACAAATAAATTAAATTTAATAAAATGTAAAAAAGTCATAAAATGCAGTATGGAATATCAGTAAAAAATATTTCTTTCCATTCTAAATATAATAAATTGCAGACAACATAATTTATTAGAGGTATTAAAATACTATGGAGAATTTTAAAAGAACCTGTTTATTTTTGTAGTTTTTCTTTTACTACTTATTATTGAACATTCTGCAAAAACTTCAAATCAAACAAAAGTATGAGCTGAAAAAACTCGTTTAAGGAATAACGATAATATGTTTTGAAAATAGAAATATATAATAGATGGCGGTATTTTTAATCGTGGCTAGGCTTACAAATTAAAAAAGGAACAGTACTACAAATTGAAACAATATATATAAATAACTTTGAATTGATAGCCATTACAGATTCTTCTGATGATAATCACAGAGCTTAACCTCACCTTGTATTCGCCGGCCTTTTTGCGCAGCTCAACCATCTCCTTGAACCACAAATCCAAATTCGGTTTAGAGTGCGGCGGGGCGGAGCCGTTCATGACCACCACCTGGCCGGATTCGGCGGCCTGCTGCCGGTTGTCCACCTCGTCCTTGAGGACTGCGGCGGCCACGGCGGCGTCGGCGAAGCCGTAGTTCTCCTTTTTCGTGATGAAGTGGTTCAGGCGCTCCTGGTCGATGGCCTGCGAGAAGGGACGCGAGGTGGTCTTGCGCTCCACAATGGTCACTTGTCTGCAAGGATCGAGGGAATCGTTAGCTAATCGAAATGGTAATGTGCTTTTAAAGAGTCTGATATTCAAGGGAACTGCTGTGCTTCTCGATGGCTGCGCATGCAACACTTGCAACATGCAGGTGCGGATGAATGTGGGTTCTGATTGTTATTTTTTTCTTATATGGGTGATGCTGCACTTTCGGGTGGGCTAATGAAGGACATCACTGACTGAATGAGAATGGCAGAAGCTATGAGCAAATCGGTTTGAGGGCTAGGTTAATGAAATGTTCATACTTCTCGTGCGTTTTTCTATCATCCGTATCGCTAACCAAGGGCTCCAACTCATGTAGAGTAGCTGAAAGCACACAGATACGAAATTTAATGCTGCAATCCAAGTCGATCGATAGCTTTATACAGATTCTGGCTGATGTCTGGCATCAGTATCAGTGGGTACATTAAGATAAGGGAAAGTATAATTCAATTGTAGAAAATGCAGTAGGAAACTAAAGGCCAAAAGGGTGGAAACAAAGGTTAGGTTTTCTTTTGCAGAGTGTCTCGATTACGCTAAATTTGAACTCAGGGTTAAGGAGAAGGTGATTTCATATTATTGTACAGCAAATAAATGAGCCGGAAGCAGCGCCTTGGTGGGTGGTGGTTCGGTGGGTGTGGTTGGGTGGTTAGTTTGTGGGTGGTCAGCTTTTACTCAGGTGAGGGAATGCTAAATGAAAACTTTGAAATGAAAATCAAACTGTGTTTTTGGCATTGAGTTCAGAACCGAAAACGATGTTGAATGCTTTGGTTGAAGCGTGTTTGGTATGGTTTCCTGGTAGTTTCTGGGGGTATGTTTGAACAATTTTGGGTAACTTTTGTTTGGAATATAGAACGAAATTCAGACCAATTATTGTATTCTTTTCTTATATAAAATATGTGTTTACAATTCGAGTTGAATGCAGCGTTGGATAATTCATATTATTAGTTGTGATATTTTTTTGTTTTTTTTTTGTTTTTGTAAGCACTACATCCAATTTGTACACTATGGAAGCTCTTCGCTGGAAGCTCAAGGCGTCGCACAAGGGTTAAAGGCAAGACAAAAGCGTTTTGCAATTGAAGCCACTAATTGCCACTGAGATGCAGATGCACTTAACGATTTAGCATATAAATAGAGGGGTTAAATTTAAATTTATTCTATTTTATGTCGTTTTATTTTGTTTGTTTCCGTCTCCATTTGCCTTACCTATGCGCTTTGCTTGAACTGTAAATTTTGTTAGTATTTGGAAAAGTTGTATCATATTTACTGCCCACGGCCTGAACTAACCCCACACTAAGTTGGCCAATTCACCTAGCGGATGATACGTGGACGGTAGACAAAGAGTTGATGCCGTGTTGACTGATTGATTAATGGTTGTCTGGTTTAATGCATGACACTAAAGTAATTTCGATTGGTTGTTGTCGTTTCACACATGCAACGAAACTTAGGCAACTTATGCAACAACTCCTACGCTCAATCGAAATGAAAACGGAATTTATCACACAACCTGCGGCCACAACATGCTCATACTACACTTGGCTATTTTCAATTCATCAATTCGTCACGTAAAATTGCATTGACACAGCGTGTTAGTGGGTTCTGCATTTCCGATGAGGATGGGAATGGGAATGGGCACGAACCGGGCATAATCCCATCAATTTTTGATTGATCAACGCAATTTTACGCTCGGCAGTAAAAGAAATTGTATTGGTTTAGCACTAATAAACATTAAATTTAGTTCAACACTTACGTCAGCTTTTGGCTAAAAAGATATTCTTGAATATGTATGTTCAACCTTTTTAGTTTCGGGTTTGGTTTTTATGTTTTTGGAAAGGAATTTAGCATAATTTCGTTCTATATGAAATAGATTTTAAAGACGGTAAAAGTTTGCTAACTGCTTGAAATCAAAATAATCATTAGTTTACAAAAGCGTTCAACGAAACATTGGCTTGTACGTACGGAAAGAAAGGGAAAATTATACGAAAATGTTCGAGATAATTATTCTAGGAAATATCTATCTTAGTTTTGAGCACTGTAGTATACATATTTATAGGTTCGAGTACGATTATAAAGGTAAGCGAAAAGTTACGACGACGTGTACATAAAAAACTTGATTTGGAATTCGATCGATTGCTTGGTGGCAAATTAGCATTTTTAATATGGCAGCGGTGAGAGGAGAAAAAATCGTTTAGGCTACGTTCATTTACCAACACTATTCAACACTTTTCTATTGATTTTTTGCTTTTTTTGGCTCAATGCTGCTGCCACGGCACAAATTTTCATTTAAAAATCTTGAAAAATAAACAAATCTCAACAGTTACGTAGGTTAGTAAACAAAATGTTACGCAATCTGCCGTGAATTAGTTTGTTAGGTTGGTTAAGTAAAGAAACGATTAATTAAAAATCAAATGTAAACTCATTTTAGTACGCTCGCTCTTTTGGATTGTTTAAAAATTAGTTTTAGTATTACATATAATAGTTGAAAGAAACTATGCGCTAGTAGAAATGTTTCGTTTGTTTCATATATTTTTTTTTTTGGTTTTTTGGTTGTTAAGTATGTTAAATAAATGCTTAGCGACGACAATTTGTTGTCGCACCTTCTTTCTGATTTGTTGTACGTTTTTTATGCACCGTGGGCAAGCCGGCACCGCCACCCATCATCGTGTGATGTGTGTGACCATTCTGGGTTTGGGTCAGACTCTGACTCTGGTTTTGGGTGTGACTGTGACTTTGGCCGCCGGACCGAAGGGCGCCCAGCGATATGGACTTTCTCGGATAATCGCCGGCAGCGGCCCTAGACGTCGCCTCGCCGCCGCCCTTAATCCGTCGGACAGTGGGCCAAACGAATTGCAGGCGGTACTCAGTGCTCAATTTAGAGATGGTCTTTTTCAATAGCCCATTTGACTCACCCGCCTGCGAAAGAGAAGAGCAGAATCACACAACGAAAAAGGGTTTTCGGGGGTTAGGGTTTCACATAAAAGAGAATGAGAACGAGAACGAGAAAAGAGAACGAGAACGAGAAAAAAGCATTGCAATGTCGCATTGTAGGATAGGTTTAAATATATAATTATTAATTATGGTTAAGTTGGGTTGGTTTTCATATTTGTTCGGGTTTTATGGGGACGATCAGAGCACAGTTAACATAGAGAAGAAGAGACCGGGTTAGTCATAGGTGGAGAAACAGAGAACGAGAAGAGAAGAAATACACACAATACAAGTATAAATTGTAAATTTTGAACATCTAATACTAATTTAGTTAAGTCTTAAATGAAAACCCCAAATGTTACTTAAAATATTTTTTAAATGGTTATATCGAAATAAAATTATAATAAGATAAAAACCAAAAACATTTACAGTATTTTAGCTAGTGATGTAGTCCCTTAATATTTTAAAAGTTGTCAGATAAGCCCAACTAAGTTTTAAAGAAATGATATATCCATTGATAAATATCTGATAACATTAAAATACAATATTAAAAGTTAAAGGAAAGGTGAAAAGGTATATAAACACTACCCCAAAATGTATGCTATGGAACGTTTAAACCAAGCAAAAATACCTTTAAACAAATAGAAAAGCAATTTTAGACTACCAGGTCTGTGTTTATTCGCATTCAATTCACCACTTCATTCACCCACACAGAGATAGAAGAAGACAGAGAAAACTAGCATAAAACCCTTGTTACATGCATTACAAATCACAGACACAATGGCCACAATCAGACTGGAAAAAGATATACTAAGTATTGAAAGTATCAGGGATATTACAAGTGTATGAATGGGCGAAAAAATCGATATACAACTTATGCAAATGTTGGAGGGTTTTGCAGATTAAAATTTTACATTCAGGTCGAGTAGCGCCCGACTAACTGACATTCGGTCTGACAACTCAATGGTGCTCCGGCACACTCACTGCAAATGTACAGACACATGCAATCGTGCTCATGTGAGTAAATGAAATTTTCCCATAGCCGCAAACGGCGCGACGAACTACAAATGTTCAACAGCATGTCCTGCACAGGGAAAATTGCCAATAAAGGACCAGAAAAGTTGCAGACAGTGCGACACGGGGCGTATGAGTGTTGGGGGGCTGGGGAGGCGGAATTCAGGGCTGACTGATGGACAGCATCAACGCTAATAGAAATTGTTGCGCGCCACCAAGTTTCGGTCCAATGGTCCGAAGCGCGTTCTATCTCTGATCGGAAATAGGGGACAGGTTCTATCTCCCTGCAGATTTTCCCCAGCTTTATGTGGCGCCACGAGCCGAAGCCTTCTATCGGACTATTGAGCAAGGTTTAATTTATGGGACCTTATTTGGCATGGACCGATTTACAGAATTTTCTAGCCCACTTTACGCACTTTAAATTATTAACAAATAAAGCTTGAATACATAATTAAGATTTGATTTATGCACTGATAAAAAAGTAGACTAGTAAATGTAAATATCTGCATATTATTCTTAATATAAATCAATAATGTTCTATAAAGAATTGCATGGTTTAATTAAAAATATTCAACTCAAGTTTGAAAACATTAGATTTGGTGCTAGTCATATTTACTTAAGGTATTTTACGTGATTAAAAGACATAAGTTCATATTAAACTACCATTTTAAAATTCTCAAATAAGACATAGTTGTTAAATTTAATATTTTCGCATTTAAAGTAAGTAATAGACGTAATAGATGAAAAACATAAAAAAAGAATATATAAATTGAAAATGAAATTCTTGGACTTTCTATGTTTTTTTATCAGTGCAATAAAAATTTTTTTTATATTAATTTGCTACAAACAAAAATATTTAAAAACTTTAACCCGAAATTTCGAATGCTATGTAGCCCCCAAAAATGTCTTAACCAATTTCAGCATGCTGGGGACTTGAGATCCGAAAACACATACATACAGAAACCCAGGCACGCGAAATTGAGGTGCACACACAAGTACGTGATTTATTTGATTAGGCAATAGACAGTAGACAACTATTGAATTAGACACCCGAGTGCTCTGGCTGCCGTGCAGTGCAATCCATCTGACAATTGTGTACCTGTTTTCTTGTGGTTCCGTCGATCTCCGTTGCAATGGGATACGCACGTCCATTGGGCACGACGGGTGGTCCCTCCGATTTGCTGCGGCGCGAAGGTGTGCCACCCCGCTCCTCCGACTGCAGAGAGACAGAGACGGGGCATTAAAGTGATACATACGGGCTTGTATAGTTAATTAGCTGGTCATTAATATTACGCATACGCCTTGTTGACGTGCGTCAGCAGGTGGAGTCAATTAATTATGTATTGTCAGGGCGCCCATGATAGTATGTCAAAAGCACACTCTCCCAGGTATACCGGCGCGCAACCTCGCATTCAGGTCAGTGGCGTGAAAGGGATTTTGGCACGGGGTATTTCGCTTAATTTACTGTAGCCAATTACTCGAATGTAGTCTATATTTAAAAAGTAATGTAAATTCCCTAGCCTCTCGATTTAATTATTTGCCTGAGTATTATTTAAAACAAACCATTAAAAACTATAATAAAATACAATACATTCACAATGTCAATATCAGATTTATATCGATTTTTTCAATTGAGATATATTTATGTAAAAGCGTAGTATTTAAATAGGCCTAAGGGGCTCATTACCCAAAACCCTACCACTACGTACGCCACTGATTTTCGCACACGTATCTCAATGTCCTTGCAACATGTGCCGCTGTGCGCCTCATTATTAATTAGTCTAGCGTTGAAGAGGGGTTGGGCGGAAAATGAACTAGGAAAGGACCAACCTCATAGGAAACTTTTTGTGAACGGCTTTTGTGTATTTCCTGCGGCATTTCAGAGCGTCGACATTTCTATGAGGGCCGCGGCTTAAACGCATTAACCCTAATGCCAAACCTCCCGTAAAGGCAACGGGTTTTATAAGCCCATAAATATGCTATAAGAGAATATACCTTCAAATGAAAACTTTATACTCTTTAAGCTAATTAAGACAAACGATTTACAGCGAGTAACTTCTGGGTTTCAATTAAATGCTCAGCTTTTGACGGTTTTTTAATCGGCAATAAAAACTACCGCAAACTTTTTAAGAGCACATTGCACAATGGCTAAGTAAAACACAGAGTATAATAAACAACTCAGTTTTTTTCTGCATTTCAAAATGCCAGGGTGCATTTGCATTTCCCTCACGGCCCTCTTCAAATGTCAAAAGCGCATAAAGTTTGTGTGGCCATAAACTGAAAATACTATTAGATGTGGAAAGCTCGCTGACTCTTTACAAATTTTTAGCTCGTTCATGAAGATGTGGAAATGCACAATAATTTTTCATATTTATGAGCCAAAATCTTCTCAGCCGCAACTGCTTATACACATGTATAAAAGTGGGCTTAGATCTAAGTTGAAACAGGGTTACGTGATTGCATTACGCTAAATAAATATGGGATACATTTTAAAAATGTTAAGATTTTTTGAAGCTTCATGAAAATGATTCTAAAATAGTAAAGGCCCCATTCCTCTTTTCAAAGGGGCAACTATATTCTCACCCTATTCATATTTTAGATATTTACTACCTCTTGCACCTGCGAATGGTCAGGGTCATATATGTCCTGGGGGGCACAGATGGGAAAGGGATTCAAGGACTGACACTTACTCTCGCCAAACGATGTGCACTGGCATCTCGGCGTGCATCTGTATATTCCGATCCTATAATAAACTCGTGCGATTTATATGCTAATTCTGGACATTTTTTCCGGCGCGGCAATGGCGGCTCATTTGTCGGTCCTGCAGATGCGCAAAATCCAATCGGAAGTCGAATCAGAACGAGATCAATAAATAAGTCTGCGACAATAAGGCGCAAGACAAATGTCTTCCCAACTCACCAACAAATTGACTTGGGTTTGGGGCTGGCGCCCGTCGCACAACCTCTGGCCGCGAGTTGCCCGTAAATTCATGCCAACGATAAGTGCTCCGATACTCCGAGTGGAGCTGCTGGAAGAAAAGATAAAGGATGCCAATGCGTTAGTCAAAAATCAGATACACTTGAAAAAACAAAATATTATTTAGGATATAAAAAAATGTTGTTGATAATTTTTGATATTCTGTAATGTATTATATCTTCCCTACAACTTCAATTCAGTTTTATTTTCCTTTTTTTTTTTTGTTGTTAGTAATTTTCTTCATTTATATACAGAAAAATTATTAAGTACATTGTTCTTAAATTGAGAACATTCGTTGTTAAAAACCGTTAAGTACATTTGATATCAATGTTCTCAATGTTGGACCGAAATGGTGAGAAATAAAAGTTAAATTGAGTTTACTTAACAACTTTTTGATAAGTATACACTACTGACTGTACAAATAGTTTATTTGTTGGGATATACAGTAAAAATACCGCCAATTAACTTGAGCAAAACGAAAACATTTTCAACTTCAAAAATGTCGTTCATTTTTAAGAATATTTTGAGCTCAGATGAGAACGTCAAAACTAACTCTGTGTAAGGTTTTCTTAGAAATCAAAATTAAATTGTAAAAATATAGAATTAAAACAATAAGACTTGTTATCAAACATATATAGATAGTTACAATCCACATTGATTTAGAAAAATGTAATCTCAGCTTAGTCCCCCAAATACATTGATTAAAGGATCCCCTTTAAAATAGCATTTCCTGCTGAAAGCAGACAATAGGCGCAATTTAACGTGGATAATAATTACAGCGAAACGCATGACAAATACCACAATGAGACCAACAAAAAACTAACCACTTCCACATATGGCCACATGTAAATATTTTCATTTGCCATGGCCAGACTTTCGGGCCCAGGGCTGTCGGCCAATTGGCCAGTTAGTCAAACAGTTTCGTTCCGGGCTCTCGGCCAAATTGCGGTTTGTCGCATTTCAATGCGGCATACGTCCACCCACTTTCTCCATTACAACTGCAGCCATTTGATAATTGCGACAATGGCCAGAGAAAAATCCATATTAATGGCCATGTTTTCTACTGCAACAGTTACTCTTACTGCCACTTCAGCAGTTACTGTTTGTGTTATTTTGCGACTTATTTTATGGCCACGACAGCGCGTATCGATCTAAGCCAAGGAACTTGGACATTTCGAGCTGAAGTCGTTGCATGTAAGCTGTAAATTGGGTTAAGCTCCCCGAACACAAGCTGGCTAAGACAGCTGCAGCGACAGTCCTGGCCGACAGTCCTGGCCGACAGACAGTTCCAGGACATTCTCGTGGAGCAGCCGAGTCACTCGATTTAATTATGGCCCGACTTCGAGTTCGCCCTCCTGCCTTCCAAGAATTTACCTGTGCCTGCCTGGGCTTAACTTTCATTGTCTCGACGTCGTTTCCTGCTCCACTTTTGCACGGTGGAATAATTGCCGGTGGCACGCAATGTCAAAAGACAGTAAACATTATATTAATAATTTGTTGCAGTCATTTCCTAGGTTTAATTTCCATTTTTAAACACCTAACAGGGATTTTTAACAAGGTCGTTAAAGAACTATACAGAAAAGAATATGGTTAAAGTAATCGATAAAAACAACACTATGGTTATAAAATATTTGAATTATTAAGAAGATTACCTTTAAAAAAGATTTTTGTTCTAGTAAACTACATAATATGGGAAGAGAGACTTGGATTTTAAAAAAAATTGTCAACTTTTTTTTTTGTACTCTTGGTCAACCAAAAAAGTTTTGCGCTTCGTTTAAATTTTCTTTAAGCAACTCTGTTTTTATGGGTTTTAAAAATCTAATTTGCTGGATCTGCTAGATAATCGCACACGCACGTCACTGAACCACTTAATAAATTAAGCCGCCATAACTCTCGTATCCCTTATGCTGTGCTCCGAATTGGCTGCACCCTTAACCCATAGTCAAACAATAACCCCAGGAGCAATTAACCCAATTGCGGGCAGACCCCTTCAGTCTAGACACACTCCAATATCCGCCAACGCTTTGCGCCAATTAAAAGAGCTATAGCAAATCATTCCTCGACAATCAATAAAACTCACTTGGCCGGAAGGGATCGGGGCCACACCTTCCGCAGTACGACGATACCTCGACGGCACGCACCTTTTGCATAATTTAGCAGTAGAGCTCACTTTATTCGAGCCGCTGGAGGAAAGCTCGAGCCTACGTGGGTTCGTTTGTCACCCGAATAGGCAGTTGATGTCAGGGGCGTCGCCATCGTTCGCACTGCCAAAGTGTGGGAGGGGCTGCTGCCACGTGGCTGACTCACACCTGCACAGCGTACACATTGTTAGAGCCCATGTATGAATATATCTTTTCGACCCCACCAACTTTCAGTACATATCCTGGGCAGCTGCAACAATTTATCATGTCATGGAAGGTGGGTTACGGCACAAAACTTTTATATATTTTCCAACTGATTTATGCCTGTGGTGGCCCAATTGATTGCGGTCACCAAATGCAGCCGCACCCCAGCATAAATATTTAAATATTATGTATCCGTTTTTTTCGAGGGTCCATTAAAAATTAATTCCATATGAAATTTTAAATGTTGTGCGGCTTTTGGGGCCAGCAGGGCGAATGTGCATAGTTTGGGGAAATCAGTTTGCCTTAAATTTTCAGCATTCATGCGAGAGAGACGGCAGTCCCTCAGCTGGGAGACACTTTGTCTCCCTGTCCCGGTGTCTGTGCAGTGATGTTGAAATCCTGATAAGCCTGCTGACATCTCAACTATCCCATGGCTGACAGATGGGCGGGTCGGCCGGCTCCTCCTGCGGGTTGCAGTGTTTTTAATTAAAATTTTAAACGACGAGTAGCTTTCAACTTAAAGAGCTCCAGCCGGTGCCGCCGTGTGATTTTTAATGGAGTTTCCAGGGGGCAAGTGCCAGCTACTTGCCATCAAAACTTGGCACATAGATCAATGGCCAATTTGTGGTGTTCCTAACTATCCTATAAATTAATGTCCACGTTGCAGACATATTTCTTGTATAGGTTTTCCCATATCCGATGCACATACTGGAGATAAATTTATGGCTTTTATTTCCAAGGGTGGGTCTCCAGTATTTTTCGTAGCATACTTGCAGGCGTCAGTTGCACCATAATCCGCACACACACACACAAGTCAAAGTCTCTGACCGCACAAGTGTGTGTGGTGTGTGGGGCGGGGGAAATTCGTGTGCGTGTTTAATCTTCCCGAAGGGACCTTTCAAGTTTTATGCGGGCAAAACAAGCAAAATGACACCTCGAAGCATAGTTATCGCCTCCGAGATCCTTGTTATGCGGTCTCATATGTTTCCCCTGTATTGGTGTAGTCCTTTGAAGTGCCAACCGCATTTCTGGGGAACCAGAAAATGTCTTTGTCCAATGCGTTTTGGGGTGAGGTTCGAAAGTTTGTTGCAAATTATGTGGAAGATTAAAACGTCCTAGTATACAGTACTAAAAGAGGGCTTCAAGTTGTCTGTTTCCATTATTTCCTCAAACTAATATTTTCACATTTTTAATTTTAGTACTAGATAGGTTTAAATTTTCTATAACAGTACAAACAAAAAGTTTTCTAAACACAAAACCACTTATTTAATATTCGCCACATTTAAATAAATACTGCTTCAAATTGTTTGCTTGCTATTATTTCCTTAAACCAATTTATATTAAAAATTTCGGTTTCGGTCAATTTTTAGTTTTAATACTTGATAGTTATAAACTTTCTATAACAGTGCTATTATTTCCTTAGGCCAATTTATTTTAAAAATTTCAATTTCGGTAATTTAATACTTGATAGTTATACATTTCCATAACAGTAAACCAAATAGTTTTGGAGCACAAAACCGCTTTAATATTATAATTTAATATTTTTCCACTTCAGAGCTCTTATAATTTGTTTTAATACTGACTTAAAAGTTATCTTATGGTTTTAATGAACTTTGTATCAAAACTTTTACAACTTTCAAAACATACTAAATCTCAAGTATCAACATATTGAAACTTAAATATACAAACCTTAAGCAAATATTGAGTTGAATCTATGCAACCGTTTTTGTTATCTTATCTAAAAATGCAGCTTTGTGAAAACTTCACTGATTGTTTGTTCTGTTTTGCTACTTTTGCCGCAGCCCTCGACTTGTTTGAAAAGTTTTTTCATTTACTTTTTGTTTACGATGCATTTTTGCCATTTGACACCATTTTGTCTGGCACGGACAACGGCCGCAAACACACGGCTGCTTTTATGGTTTCCGCCGGCCAGGCCGAGTCCACAAAGCACCTGACCAGGTGGGCTGCACGATGGTCACAGCCGGGCTCAGAGCCCCTTCCCCATTTTTCTACGGTGCGTGCCTTTGTGCCACTGTGGCTTAGTTTGCTCGATTGCTCAACTAACTCGGCCTGTGGGATGTTTGCTGCCATTTTGCGTGGTCTGCGCCGGCAATTAATTCACTCAGCAATGGCCCCAGGCCGGCAGGAATGATGCTCCTGCCACAAACTTAATTGCCAGCTGCATTGAAATGAGACACGCCCCGAAATATACAGACTGACTGACGCAGATTGACTGGCAGCCAAGAGCCGGGTAATGTTTGCCCCAGGCATTCGTTACAAAAGCCATACTTACAATTGTTTCTTTTTGAACAAGAAAAATATCTGATTACATATTTAATTAATATTATGGATATAAAACTGTATTTTAATATATTAAATATATTATTTTCCTTTAGAGAAGGAGGAAAATTAATTTTTAACTTATTTCCAAGCCCTAAAGATTGCAATATATTTCAAACCAATAAATGATTTTCTTATCAAGAAAAATGTTAGTTTAACTTAATATTCATTGCTGCTTGTTCGGTTCAAAGCTATAAAATAATAAAAATATTTTATAAATTCAAGCCCATGGGTTTTTCTTGGTGTAAAACCACTAGAGGTCGTCGCCTAACGAGGAACATTGGCCAACACAACCCAAGTCAACCCCGGGTTGGAGGTCACCTTCATTAAATTAAAGAACACTGCTCATTTGCATGGGCGCCTT